ATTGAAATTAAAATCTTTACATTATATTGAACTATTGTATTGTGCATGGCGTTTTTATTATCTCTTTCATCGACATATAATATATATGCAATTATTATTGCTGCGCTACTGCTTCTGCTGTTGCTGCGCAATAAAATTGCATGTCCAATTTTGCACATCAATAAATAAACATAAACGACAACAATTCAAGTGACAAATGCTTTTTTTACGTTCATATATTGTCATTATTTATTAAGTTCAAGAGAGGATTGCTTACATCTGCGTTTTGAGCTATAATACATACTATGTACATCGTGTCGTTCAGCAAAAGTCTCTCTTCATTTCGCGATTATCATTTGACTTTGCTGCTACTGCGACCGGGAATAAAGGTGGGGCCGTACGGTCCCCAGGTAAAACTTACAAACATCTTAAAGCTATGTCGTTAGTCTATTATTTTCAGGCTGCAGGACGAAAGTTGTTTCCTTAGAAATAGAATTTTTCTCTTTTACAACCGGTTTTGCATTTTATTAGGATTAAAATATAATGACTAAAATAAATTACGATATTTTTTCTCTTGATTTAAATTAACATAGCAACAGCGTATTTTATCGGAAGTAACCTTGCGTATTAAGATAGCTGCTAATTAGCACTGATTAATCGGCATAAATTAGAAAATACATTCTTTTTCACATAATTGTCAATGAAATTTTTTCATCATTTAATAGATACGTATCTTATTTAATAAATAATAACAGTAATATATGTATATATGATCGTGATCGTATAAGGTATTAATTATATATCACAAGGATAATTTAATAGTTTCTAAGTTATTTTTTTAAAGATTTGCTAAATATTATCTGAAAGAAGATGAAATGTATTACAGAGTCCGGATGAGATCCTCTGTGGGTTAAATTTCATTTCAAATTATTCAAATATTTTTTTATATCTCAATGTTTGTTCAATGAACGAGGAGATACATTTTTATCAATACACTATACAATGTAGTGTATTGATAAAATTGACAAGATTGTTAAAATTAATTGATGATCTCACTTGCTTGACTAGAACAGTAGCAACGCGAGCAAATGTAGGACAACTTTCAAAGTCCATGCAGCCTCGTCTCCACCTTGAATATTGATCCTCGTATTCTTGTCATACAGGTATACAACTACGTGTAAAATAATCTTGATCTCTATCGTTACCTTAAACTTACGTATACACTAATGATATTATGTCTATAATTCGACCAAACGCATTACTCAAGTGTCGCCTCGAAGCGACGATTTTCGTACAAATTACACCGAAGTGCCCCTTTCGTTCATCCGACAAAATAATCGTTATTTTGTCAATTTTTTTTCTCTACGCAAGATTACCTTTTTCTATCTCTCTTTCGCTCTTTCTCACAATCTATTATATTACAAAGTTCGGAAGCGAAATTTACAGGCTCGTTTACGTTCTTATATCTCTAAGGACAGAAGAAAATAGTTCGTCGCGCATAGACCGAATTATCGATTAACGATCTTCGCGAATCTTTCGACGCTCGTTGACGATTGACGACGGGAAGGTAAGAGGAGGGAGTAAAGGAGTATAAAATATCTAACGGTTCATAGAAAATCGACACTACTACCTCTTAATCTACGCTCTATAAGCTCACTTTGGAAGGTGACCGCGCTGCGACATATATTTTCCCGGAAGTCATCACAATGATTCAATGACAGCCTGTGTCGTTTAAAATGCACCATCCTCGATGGAAACGACGTTTCTCTTAATCACATTCAAGATCTCTGACAGTTTAGCGCCAATTAAATAATTTCTTCATAGTTTTTTTCACAAATATTAAATTCGCGGAGTTTGTCGGAATTATTCAATTCTCAGTTTAAAAAATCCTAATTATAAAATATTGGATTTATAATTTATCAAACATTGAATCTTTGTTTTATTACGATAATTACGTCTCTTAATTCACTGCAAAAAAAAATTCAGCTATTATGCATAACATATTTCCTGACGAATCCAATATTTATAAAAGAATCTTGTCGCCTAATCTTCTTTTTTAAGCTATCAGAAAGATCCTGCTCTTTGTAACAACCGTGATATACAATATCCGAAATATTCGTAAAAAGATTACAGCTATATCTACGACGCTAGTGTGCGTTCATTCCTTCGAGGGCCTTCCAATCGTGGCGATTCGTGCCCGCCGTACACGTTATTTTAATGTCACAGGTCGACTACAACTTACATATCCTTATCGCTAATTCTTTGACTAATATTTATCCGCACATACCCATTAGTAGATCCTTTTTATTTAGCGCACCAAAGCACAGCGCGAATGTAACACAAAATTTATGTATTTGGACTGCATGCTGAAAACGAATATTAGAGATAGATGTTGCCCTATTTAATTCGATCTGCAGGCTGGATTCCAACTAGGAGTCAGCCTGAATCTAGGAAAGCTAGGAATTTGAATCCAATTTGGATCTGATTTGGATCAATTTACTGTCATTGATTTCTTACTTTTCTGTTTTACATTCGACTGTACTATAGGATTATTTGTATCTCAAGTAAGAGGAAGCTCGCAGAAAAAAGAGACAAGATAAACACTTGTCTTAAACCGTTAATTTATCTCGATACGCGACGTTTTGAGTTTTTCGATTATATCATGTGATAAAAGAAAATCCACACGATTATACGAAATTTCAAGACTCGAAACGCGGCATCGAAAACATTGTAAAATAATGTTTCGTCCTTATTATTCATCGTAAACGAATAACGTTCACGTGGTGTACGAGATATTGGCCTAATATTTCAAAATAATTGATCTTCGTCGATGACGAAAGAATAATATAACATCGGTGGCGAATAGTTACTTATCGTTTTATCTTTCACTGCATTAAATAGGATCAGACCACCAAGTGGTTCGTCATTTTGATTCGCTATAATTGGCGTGATCATGAAGCAAACTTACGATGATGCTGCATTTAGTAGTATCGCAAGCCGTGCAGTATTCTTTTTCAAACTTTGAAGAAATACGATTTAAAATTATAATTTTCTCGTTTCTATACATATGTTAAAAGTAAAAATAGAGAATTTAACACATTTGAAAAAAGAAAAATTTTCATCGAAAAAGAATTACAACAAAGCTAGATTTTCTGATATCAAAAAGATTAAGACAGTTGGACTGATTTTTTTACTTAGAAAAGGCTTGCGCGCGCGCGCATCTAGGAAATCGTTGCGCGTTCTACGAAATCAGCCCGGTATTTCATCCCTAAAGTGGCGAAAGCTTCATGATGTCGCTGTTGAGATCGACACACGGCGCCAGGTCATCATCCAGGTCGAGGGGGCTGCCGTCCGAGCCGAGCGAGGAGGAGGGGGCCGCCATCGTTGCCGCAACGAACTCGTCGAGGAAGTCGAAGGAAGCCACCGCCTCGCGTTCCTTGTCCCCGTAGCGCACGAAGAAGTCATCGCCGCGGCCGATGATCGATGGCCGGGACGAGCCCCAGGTAGATGGCAACCGGAGGACGCGGTGCGCCTGGGCCGCCGACGCTGAAGAAACCAAGGGCACACAGCAGCGGGTCAACAGATGCTGCTCTCAGACTTCACTCGATCGACTCGATTTTGCGCTCTTTCTCTTTCTCTCTTCTCTCTATACCGGCTCTAGCAGACACAGAGTAGCTCGGCTTAGCACTCTCACGTATTCACGTCTCCCTCTCTCTCTTTCTCTCTCTCATCCTCTTTCTCTTCCTTCTTTCTCTTTTTTACGACCCCTCTATCCGTTCGTATATATCGCCTATCGCTTTCCACCGTCGCTTCACCGCACCGGTTACACCTCTTTCTTCCGTGGACTTTTTTTATTCGGAATTTAGGCATTTGGCGGGTGCACGACCGAATGGACGATGTAAATTGGACAAATTGTACGCGCGTACGATATATTATAATAGACAAAAGTCATGTAAACATTCCTAAAAATTATTTTTATTTTAATTTCAAGCTTTAAATTATCACAAATTTTTTAATGCAAGTTGAAACGTGGCACTTGAATTATTTTTGCCAAATAACCAGTAAAAACTAAAATATAACAATTATGTATATATTTTTTATATTTATAAAAATATCAATTTGAGGAATTAAAGTTCTAAAATTTGCATGTAATTAATTTATGACAAATTTTTTGTGTTAAATTGTCGCATGTTATTTGTCCAATCTACTTTATGACATGATTATGATTCGCTCGAAAATGATAAATTAATTAAAATCGCATTAATATGTAATTAAACATGTTACATGTTACGAAGTCGGGAAAAAGGAATCCATTCGAATAGGTTAATTTCACGTTGCTAAATTAAAAATGATCGACAGTGCGAGATTAATGATGAAATATAGGCAGACGTATAATGAAATGAAGCGGTCAGAAAGGAAGATGAAGATGCTGAAACGGTCTTGCACATGCCAATAAGATTTGAAAATTGTTGATTCGCTCGCAATACAATGAGAGAGAAAGTAATTATTCTCGATCTACCCTGACGCAATTCCACGTGTGATAAACTATTCCATTTTATAATACAGGATACACGTAACGTTCATATCTGTCTTATATTGCGCCGTACTTTTTTACTTTGGAAAGACATTAAATGACATTTGCACACCAATTTGCATTCTCGTCTAAAAGTCTTTATTGGATATTTTAAATTTTATTATATTTGCACTTTTCTAGGAAGATAGTTATATACACATCTCTCTTTGATTATCCATAAAACTAGTACATTTAAATAATTGCACTACGTTTGATTACACACAATAATCTCCTTGTATGCCATTTGATTTATATGTCTATTTGATTCTATATATATTATCAATAGTCTTTTATACTTAATATACCCTTGTATTTTGTCCACAAGACTTTCGGACGGTAATGTATGTGCCAAATAGGTCACGCAAATATACGTAATCGAGACGAAGAGAGTTGGAATTGCGTGAAGGCACTACGCCAGGAACGTTTTCTTTGCCGGTTAATAATTCTGTTAGCATAAACCAATCGTATAAGTCCGTTGTGGGCGTACACTGGTTCAGTTCAGGCCGAAATAGGCTCCCCGGCGCGGCAATGTATTCCTCCCAATTGGTCATGTCGCTTTTATAGAAATTGATCGTCACTAAGCCGAACTACGTAGCTTTTCTTGTGACAATCAAAGCACACCGCGTAGGAGCTACCATCTGAACAGAAAATATGGAAAAGGCTATGTACAGCGAAAGGGCTACTAGGCGCGAGCGTGAATTGTACTGTGATTGTACCGTGTTGATTGCTAGTATCGAGTAGACAAGAATAAAGCCTTAAAATGAGTGCATGATACGACGTGTGACGGTGCGACGTCAGTTTCGAATGTGTCAATTGTGACGAGATGGTGTAATAGTGTAGACGTGTTGCCATCTTAAGCTTAGGAAAGCAAGCGCTGCTCACACACCACCCACAGAATTTTCTAAAGAGTCATATTGAGCTTGTTTTCTTTCACAATATATGGCTATACGTCTCAGAATATCTAATTTATTATTTTATGGCTTTTCTTTGGGATTTAATAATGATAAAATAGTTTTTTTTGAATAAAGCACATAATGTGTAAATCTTATAAGAATAATACGAAATTGATTAAGAATTAAAATATTAGCTCTTATATAAACTAAAATCTGTGTCTGATGTAAAATCAGTGTAGCAATTTTGATCTTATCTATTAAATTGAATTGCGTACAAAATGATGATTTAGATATTCTGTATATAGGTAATATATACGCTAGATTTTTGTTAATCGAATACTTTAGCTTCAAGCTTTCAGCACTAACGATTAGTAAATTTCGTGAAAATTTCAAAAGAAAAGCGTAATGAGAATGGTTCTCGATAGAAAGCGTTAGACATTGAGATTGATAAAGATCGTGTAAGGTTAAAAATTATGAGTTTTGCGAAAAGGTGGTGAATGGTGATGCGCGGAAACGGCACAATAAAAGTGTTTACTTAAGAATAGATACCACCCAGGGACAAATACCTTTCTTTTGTCGTCGGTACCGATGTAATCTATGCAAGTGGCGGTAATCAGGTGGTTCATCCCCCGAATCACTGCCCGCCGAACCGCTGCTCGATGTCGCCGAGGAACTTTCGCTGCTTGCTAACATCACATCTAAGAGATTGGCTCTGGCCTAAACGGAAATATAATTGCGTTTTTGTGTGAAAATAAAAACATAGCGATAATGAAGTGAAGCAATTTATTCTTAAAATCTTTTATTTTAATTCAAAAATAATTATTTCATCAAATAGATAGAACAAATAGTTATTTTATCGAATGCATTATTATTTAGTTATCTTATTTGAAATTTATTAATGATTGGAATTTTGTATTTCGACGGGTAACTTACTTTAGGGTCGGTGAAGTCAATATCGCGTTCAACGTGAACCCATCCTGTCGGACAGCAGCAAGCGAGATCCAGTTTCTCTAGCACTACCTGCGATTCGTTGTTAGTGATAGCGTTAGTGTGATCCTCGCCCTTCCGAATCATACGATTCAGCTCGTCTATAACATCTTTGGACGTGGCGCGCTCGTGAAAACTTAATGTTCGATCTCTACCCTCCACGAAAAGAGTTGCTCGCGCCGGGCTTACCTGTGTGAATATTACGCAATCGTTACAGCAAGGCATTTTACTAGAAAATAAAATACTGATTTTATTTATAAATACAGAAATATAAATTAATACTAATCCGATATTATCATAGCGTTATTAAAACAATATTATATTGATAACTAATATTAAAATCATTAAGCAAAATAAATACCAGCAAGGTTTCGTATGGGCGAACAAATTATTTTTTTACAAAAGAGAAAAATATAAATAATTATACAAATTACTCTTTGAAAATTCTTTTTTCCCGTAAACTCGTGTATTATTTGAAGAACTTACAACTGTACTGGGCGTAGAGGAAGTCGCGACCTCTTCATCTTCCTCGGGAACGGCTCCCAATTCCGACGGCGCTACCGTTGTATACGAGATGCCGCCATTACACGAGACGGCACTTACAATCCTCTCCTCGGGTGCCAACGGTGGTACTTGTATCTGATCGAGTAGCTCATCGTTGCTGCTCGTTTCGATCGCGTTTCCGGTATTGCCGCTACTTTCTTGGACGCATGATCCTTCCATTTCCATGACCATTGCCTCTCCCGCGGAATCACTTTTGTTAGTGCCCACTTCTGTAACTACCGTTCAGAACCTCTTTAAATACTTTTTAGTATTTGACATTTCGCAATCTTTTATCGCTATGTTAAACAATATTTTTCAATTGTTTTTATCTTTTCTTATTATAATTATGTCGACGATAATTTGAGTGGAAAATGGATAATGCGATTTTTCGAATTTAATAGTAGATACGACTAATTATATTACTAATCGGAACCTACCTTCGGCCGAATGAGACATGATGTTATGCGGTTCCACGGGATTGTTCGGTAATTCCGCGAGATACATCTGTTGCTCGGCAATAAAAGATAAGACGCTTTGAAGTGCTTGTTCTCTATCCGGCGGCGGTCTGCCGCTCCTGGACGATGTACTAGCTAAGCTCTTGGTGCTCTCGAACTTTACTAGCCGATAAAAGTCTCTGGTAAAGTCGGTGCCGATTGACGGAGTATCGGGATCGTCGCTGCAGCCGGACAACGCTGCTGATGAACGTTTGCTTGAATTTTCCAAGACCCCTTCCTCGCTGCTCCAAGACGCACCGGGACTCGAAGCGTATGGCCAGGGTCCGGTCGCTCTCGCATCCATTAAAAGCGCGACCTAGGATGGGAAATAGAAAATTATCATTTGAAAGTTTTTTTTATTTGCAAAGGATATATTTCGAAAAAAAACACATAAACGTATCAAATAAGGTTGATTTTATAATTATAATTCAATTTTGGATGTTTTGTTATATTTTTTCCGATAAAATATAAAAAACTCACCTTATAATTTAAAAATTTTTAAATATGAACAGATAATAGGCAAGCAAAAATAATTATTCAATTAATAATTGAGCAAATATTTTCAATATTAAATATTAATTTAAAAAATTATAATAATAAACATTTGATTTGTGAAATAATATAGTATACGCGTTTACATTCATTAGCATTAATTAAACTTTGGTGAACTAAAATTTCCGCATAAGTAATATTATTATTTTGGTAACTAAGCGAACGCGTCACAGAACTCTCTATCGATATCGCGTGCAATCGATAAACGTACCAGTTCTCCCCCGGTTCTATCGGCGAGATAGCTCGCGCCGTTCCACAGACACTCGTTCGCGTCCTCCTCCAATTCCAGGAGATTATGCTCCTTGATTGCCGGCAGAGCGGGCGTGTTTGTAGCAGTCGGTTGCTCCTTCCACATTGCGGATTCATTTTGTACGAGGTCCTCCGTGGACAGGGAGAAGCTCCAATCTTCCAGCTCCGCTCTGTCGTACTCCAATTCGAGTAGGTCCCGATGCTGTTGCGCGCTTCTACTGTCATCGAGCCTGAAATCCGCGTAGAGATCTAATCAGTTTTACGTTCAATCGACGAGTGTCTGTAATCTACCGACTCCAGAGAAGCGAATACGATTTCTTTCGACTTGATTGGTTTCGTAAAATACGTGCATTGTTATATATCGTAACGCGAATTTTATAAATAAATATATGAACATAATTTGCATGTATCTTCGAAATATTTTTGCGAATTTTTTATTAATATGCTAAACTAATTAATGACACGTGAAGCAACATAGTTGCATAGCACTATAGTCGAATAACACATTAAAAAGAACTGAAAATTTATATCAAAGGAGATTTATATTCTCTATTCATTCCGCTTTCCTCGTTTCCTTAATCAAGCCATCATAATCCAGCAATTATACGCGAACAAACCTGAGCCATTGTTGAACGTACTCGGCGTCCCAGCCCTCCTCCTCTACCAGTAGGAGGGAGGACGAGCCCACGGGACTGGGCAGCTTATATGGTGTGAAATTCGCGGTAGTGGTGAGTTTGAGGCAGAGATGACTGTCGGAGAAGCTGCGCATCACGTGCTGATACGGTAGCAGATCCTTGGTCGGCGGATAACTGTGGCGCGGATTGATGCCCACCGTGAGATTCAGAGGTAGGAAGAGAACGTCCGGATCGCCAGCGTCGAGGGCGACGAGACGCGCGTCCGGCGACACGTCGGCCTCGGTCTCGTCGGTGGCCTCCTTCAAATCCTCGAGGCCGCGCGCGGATGGTTCCTGACGCGTGCCCTCGCCCTGAACGTCGCTCGACATGGTCGAATAACCCTCGTCGCGATTACCGCTCTCCGGACTCTCGCTGCCCTCCTCCTCCGAGGGTTTTTGCGCTGCGAACGTTTCGGTCAAGTAGTCCCAAATCAAGTAGTCCCCAAAATTTAGGAAATTCCAAATAGGCATGTCGCGGTTTTATCTTATCGCGTTGCATTGTATTTCATTATTGATGTTCAACATCATCTAAAGCATAGTAGAATATCGATATTTCAAGAGCGAGAAACTTGAGGATTTAGAGAGAGATTATTAAAATTAAGAGTCCACTATGGATGGGTTGTATTTAATTTCTCAATTTCTTACATAACAATTTGGATGCGTGTATGAATTAGGAATATGTGACATTTGTAATAATGTGATCTACAATTTACAGAATATAAAGTATCCGCGATTGCAAAGTGCAATTTATTCTGAAAAATATATCGAATCGAGAAACGAAATCATAAAAGAAAATATAAAGCTGGGTTGATAGAGGATTTTTATGAAATTAGCAGTTGCAATTTTATTTAATTTTTATTTGCAAATATTAAATTTCACTTTTTGATATGGATTATATTCAATCCTGCCATGCATTTAATACAATTTGATAAACAAAATTTTCAAAACGGTCTATCTAAAATTTAATTATATCTATTTTAAATACACTTAACTTTTTACGAGACAAAATGTTAATCATAATGAAAGATTAATACCAAGAGGTCTGTTGCGTCGGCACTTAGTGGCCGCCATCACGGGTATCTGTAAGTTGAGGGAACGCGGCCTCGACAGAGGTACCCAAGAAGGGTCCAGGCCCAAAGCGGCCACCAGGGCAGCCGGACCGGCCTCAAGAATTCCTTGAATCAGTTCGGTGGGACTTCCGGGACTGGCAGCCTGCGCCAGGATTCCCGACAGTGCTCGGTTCTGAGCCTCGAGCTCTCGTATACGTCTTTGCAATGCGCCTATTTCTTCCCTGAGACCCTGAAAAGATAACCAATTGACCGTTAGCACTCTTATCAGATTTCTTGGTGATATTGTTATAAGAAGCATATTAGCAGGTAGGGAGAAGCATGTTAGCGGCGGATTAATCCTTTTAAGACGATATTTTTTAAGTGAAACTGATAAAAATAAATATATGCTTGATCAACTTAAGCAAAACGAAGTATAATAATATAACAGACTGAGTTAGTCTCTGTATATCACAGCAAAATTTAAATATTTATTTTAATATTAATAAACATATTAATCATTTAATATTCGTATTAAAAAAATGCTTACTATATTTATGAAGATATATATCAATTATGTACTTTTTTTCTAAACTGTTTATTTCTTTAAAATAGAAATAGCATATAATATCAGCGAAAACATATCCTTTGGCATTACTCCTCGAGTCTTCAAAGGATTAATATTCCCGAACGACATTAGCGCGTTCTTCTACAAATGAGAGATTAAATATTACATTATAGGATGCTAAAAAACTACCAAAAAATTAATCGGACGCTAAAATTCGTTTAAATAAAATATGGAATAGAACAAAGTAAAGAATCTTTTCTCTTCTATGAAAATCAAAATTCAAAGTTGTATTTTTTCAACTTAATACGCAAAAGAAAAGTCTTTCCGAAACTATATGTGTTTATAGAAATTTCTCTTCCAAATTTTCTAGATAATTTCAAAATTTAAAGACATTATAATTCTTTTGCATCCTATGTAATAGTCCTCATAAAGTACGCGTCTTTACGCGTAGTAGCGGATGCGAGCTGTTCGGAAAGTATGAAAAGAGACAGAAAGAGAGAGAAAAAGAGAGAAAAAGAGAGAGGAAGTGTGGTAACGAGAGCATAGCGATGAACCTTTTGGGATAGGAGAGCGCGGACCACCTGGTTGGCGACGTCGTCCAGGCACCGCTCGTATTGCCGACGTTGAGCGTCGGCGTCCCGCGCCAGGGCCGCGTGCTCCGTCTCCAGGGTCGCCAGACGTGCCACGAGCGCGGCATGCACTTCACCAGCGCACGCTGCCTCGAGACCGCGCAGCTGACCTCGCATCGACTCGTTCTCCAGCTGTAGCTTCGATATCTGCGCCTGGTACTGGTGCACGCGTGCCTGCAAAGTAAGCGTGCGACACGCGAAAATTATCGTATTCGTATCCGATCGGTGTCTCCAATTACACGAAATGTTACATATAACAACGTAGGATAATTATAGCTATAAAAATATATTTTACTAACGCAACGTAATAATATGTACAATGATTAGTATAATGTGGAATTTATTATAACAGTGAGAGGATTATGTTTCCCAGTTAACATTTTATTAACACAATATAACAATATATTAATGTATAATCTGAGGATTTTATTACTTTATTTTTATTGTTACTATTAGTTCATTAATACGACATTATCATAATTATTGTTTAATTAATTAATATTGAATATAATAATTATTATTCTTGTTGGCACTTTTAGAACATGAAATATACGTAAGGTTTTACTTTGAAATATTAAACATTTTAACGATGAAACTCTGGATATTTTACTGAAGTAAATTTTAGTTAAAATTATCGAGAAAAAAAATATAAAGCTAAAGTTTAGAGATCAGTTTATAAAAGTATATTTTTTCAAAATTATATTACAATTATTTGATATTTTCTATGTATTGTATTTTATTAAATATCAAAATTATATAATATAAAAGGCGATTTTTAATTTCCGGACGTTTTAATTTCTAAAACAAGATTTGATAGATTTCCTGATCTATAAATTGAAGACATAAATTATATTACTCGCGGTGAATACTTTGAGTGTACATTCGGTAGTTCTAATCCTATTTAAAGCACATTCACACACGATCATAATCTCGGCGTGAAAGTAAAAAATTGCGAGCCGACGAAGGCCAGAAGTGCTCCATAAATATCCCACACGTTATAGCACGCGTTAAAGCTCAATTCCCGACAGTCGTTAAAATTAAGCGCTAATGGATTGTTTCGATCCTATCAAGCCTGAGTGACTCACTTGTCGTGGTCGCTCCTTGACTCCTGGGTGTTAAAGATCATGTTCGTGTTTTTAACTCGGTCACTATAGGAAAGAAAAATTGACCGGTCGGATCGCGGAGATTTAAATACTTCGTTCAAAGTAAAACGGCTGTTTCCGCAATTATCTCGGCAAACGGTCTCATTACAGAACGGGGAACCCGTTCTTAAATTATCCATTATTAAAATACCTGGAACATTCGCGAGTGTATCTTCTTACTTCTATTCTTAAATGGATGTAATTATGCCGTGGCATTCGTGACGATTGCCATTTGCTTCTTAAATTATCCGTTCGCGAAAGTACATGTGAATAACGACTTCAGATGCATTTAGGCATTCGCATTTTTATTTTTTCTTTGATTTAATTAATTATTAAAAATTATATTTTATAAATATTTTTTAATTTATCGGCTTTATCGGCTTTTGAAATTAATGAAAAATATATAATAATAATTATATGAGTCTATGTTCTACTTTTTCCAATTTTATTCTTGAAAAATGCTTCTATATTTTGTGGAATATTTTTTTAAATCTTTTTTTAAAACACCACTATTGCTCATACGCTCTTTTTAAGATAAAGATGTCTTTAATGTTTAATAACTTTTAGTATCATCAGGGATAAGGAGTTTTAGTTTGCACCTGGGGCTTCTAAAAACTTTAACCCGTCACTGCCTCTATATACCAGGCCTCCTTCCATCCTCGAATGGAAGTAATTACGTTCGGTGCGGCTCGTGATCATTCGCTTCTCTTATTACTTTTTGCCTCGAATCAGGACTTGAGTTTTTAAACGGCGGAAACAAGTCGGAAAAGTTTCGACAAACGATCAAGCACATTGTTTACCGACGATGACGACGAAGACGACGACGAACCGTTCGCGACTCGCGTTCTCGAGCGCGGTAATAATAACCGGCCGTTATTAGCAGAAAGGCGTTTAACGTTGAATTAGGGCTGCGGAGACCTCTGTCGGGGACAGGGGTGCTAATAGAGGGTGCGTGTGTCTGATTTATAACAGTCGGCCCTCGCTAACACACCTCCGCGTCGCACCGAGCGAGGAAACCAACGATTTTCTGTCGTTCCCTGGTCTAAGGGGGAGTAAAAATGCAGACCGTCTGCCTTCTGCGAATTCTCGTCGACGTGCGTTACTTCTTGACACAGAGCGTCTCGAAATTCTCATGTACGTTCCACTTGATGAAATAACCCAAAATCCGAAAAATGGATTAATCTTGAATCTATTTTTTTTTTTGTAATAAAAAAATCAGTTGATTTGGAGCTCATTAATGGAGATCGAATTTCCTTCTCAACAGATTTCTATAAATGTATAGAAAGAGAAAGAAATTTGTTTGATTATAATATTTAACTTTATTACAATATTTTATATACTCTTCATATTGGATATTATAGTTGAAGATTAGTTGTTTCTTCAATTTCTTTCTTCATTCAAAAATTAATTTCACAATTCTCAGCGTCTCCATTATTGGATCTCACCTGTCATTCGATTCGGCTATTTTTTGCAGATTGTCACCGATTCGCGTGCAGCGATAGAAGTACGTACACTCGTGCATTCAGATATAACGTTATACATCGCTTCCCGTAGGGATTGCGCGGCTTGTCATTGACAGGCGGTGGCGGGTCGACATTGAACCCAGGGATCGAGTGACGATCGATATTAAACGTTATTTCGTAGGGAACGGCGATATTCTCTCTCTCTCCCTTTTTTTTCTCTCGCTCGCTCGTTCCCCTTACTGCTACTGCTGTTATCGCGGGGGAGGGGGAGGGAGGCGTTGAGAGAGAATACCCCCGGTACGGTACGACTCTTTTAGGGGCAAACCGCCCGTGAACGAGATAGCGCGCGTGCCGTAAGAATCGGCAGTATAAACGTCCGCGTTTACTGTTCCCTCCCTTTATTGCCTATGCCTTCGCATACGCATTTTACGCCGAAAATCATCGCCCGCGAGAGCTTTACGAGGCTCGCGAATTGCGGAAACGAAAAGCGAGAGCGCGCGGGAAGCTCGCATTCGTTTTATCGATGCTATTTTTTTAGAGTAGAATGGCGGCATCGATTCTAGAATAGTTTCGTTTCGCGAATCATGTGTATTGCAGCGATTACCATATTAATTTTTAACTTTGGTTAAAACCTAGGGAAATTACTTTGAAATTGATAAGGATATAAAGAAATATTAGAAAAAGAGATCAGAATGTTTTTTAGATATTATTTATCTGTGGAAGATGCACATTCTTTATAAAATTGTCATATTGATAATTATAATAATAAATTTGACAAGAGATATATATAATGTAAATGGAATTTGTACAAATTAGGAAAAATTATTTTAATTTTAAATATGGCAATTTATAAATTTAGATATTGAAGGTAAAGATGTACATTCATAAAATAATTTATTTTAGAATTATATTTTTCATTTCGTTTGAATTTTTCTTGAAAGTCGCATATTTATAGCTTATTATTCTTTCGGAAAAGAAAACAAAATGAAACAAACTTTTTTTCGACAAAAGGAAAAAGAATTATATAAATCTTTGACAAAAGCAGCTGAGATAGAGAAATTAGACCGCTCGACCCTTATAATACGAAGCGATGTGCGCGAAACGAGAACAAAAGCTGCCGCGACAGGGTATGCTACTTGACGTTTAATAATGAGAACCGAGCTAAATTCGCGTTTGTAACAATGCTCGGGACAATCCAGGCCGAGTGCTCATGCGGTGAAATACAATAAGGGCACGTTGCCGTGAAGGAGAGCAGTATTATTGGATAAGGGGAAACCTTTTACGGGACTGTCATCGCGCGCGACATACCCGGCTTCCACCGTGAACCGAATTCCCACGACGACATACGCGATGTTCCCTAAATACACGATTGTCGTCTGATCGAGTATCAACAGCGATTATCATACATCGTTTGTCTCGCGTGTAATGTCACGCTGTTTGATTGACAAAGAGATGATATCCCGGATATAAGTTCGTTGCAGCGTTGCAGCATTTCTCATCGCGTTTATAAAAAAGTCTAAATCATACGTTTCGTAAACTGCAATACATCCATTTAATCAATATTCATAAATTAAAAACTATACAATAAACTTTTGTATTTAATTTTTTTTTATGATGATATTGAAATATATGATAAAGATTACGAATAAAGAATAGTTACATAATCGAAGAAATAGTAAGCTATTTAACTTCCACACGAGAGAGGATTTTAGACGAGAGACAATTTTATTTACCTCGTAGGAAAGTGTGAGTGCCGTTTTCTCCTGCTTCAGCTGTTCGGCCCGGTGCTTTTGTTGCAGCAAGCTCCGCGACGACTCCTCCATCCTGCAACAACAAATCAGATGCGTCTACATGAGGAAGCTCCCGGGTTTTAATCCCTGTTGAAAAGATCCTAATTGAATGAGCCATTGAGACCATTCTGGTAGCCTCCTCGGTAGCTTTCTATTGTACTGCCGGGAAATTTATTTGCTCTCTCGTCGACCTCGCCTTGGTCTCGAAGAGCTTCACTTTCGACGAGAAGGATTTTCCTCTCGCGAGATAAACTCGGGCAAAAAAAAGTATCTTTCTTTTTCCTTTCGGACTTCATCTATTTTTATCTTGTTTTTACTACATAAAAATTAAATTATAATTATAAATGCCACTCTATATTCTCTATAAATCTACAATTTCTTTTCGAACAAATAAAATATTAAAAATTGTGGATTAGACATATTTCTTCTTTCTTTCTCTTTCAAAAGCTTAATTTCACAATTTAAAAAAATCTTTTTTTAAACAAAAATATTTGCAGATATTTTTGATGATTGTACGTGAAATTCAAAACTTAAACCTTGTTATTTTTTATTCCCAAATATATTTTGTATTTTTTATCCAATATTATAATTTCCTTAGTATCAAACCAGCTTCTTCTAGGGCATTCACAAAAAAGTAAATCGAAAGATCAAAATTTTTGTGTGGCAAACCTTCTCATGCGCGTACGCACCGCGAGGTTAATGATCTGATTAGAGATGCGAGGGCGCGGCTGAGATATGAAGCCGATTTAAGCTTTTCGAGGGAGACCGAGCGAGAGGTTGACGCAGCGCCTGGCAACACCCTCCATCTTCCCATCGGGGACCCCCACAGGACAGATATCCTTGCTTATGTCCTTGGCGAAGTAACTTTGGAGCCAGTTATGCGCGAGAGTTTCAATTCGATTGTACTCCGCGTTGACATTTAATAAGGATAAATTCACAACTCGCGTTGGGAAATTGTCTTTCGCTCACTAATTGGATAGCTAAATATAAAGAATTTATAAAGATTACTGTAATATATACTCACTTATTTAAATTCTTCAATATATATTCTAACGTGATTATTATTATCTTGAGTAGAACTCAGATATCTGTTCTATTAAATTAATAATAAACTTGATGTGATCACACCACACAAATATTTATGAAGCGAAATATATCGTCGTAGATTTCTATCATTGTCAAAATTTAAAAAATTATATTAAGAATATTTTATAATTACTATAAAATTATCGATTCTTAATACTTAAAAATTTTTTTCCAATTATCACAGTTATTTTAATCAGTTATATAATATTTCTAAAATACATCATGCTTAAAAAGTTTTACAAACACCACCGAATGTATTTCGCCATTTGTCGTTTTTACATTTTTAGTTAGGCGAAGTACGAGAGACCGTGCGAGAGAGCGCGATCGATCGTCGAAGTAGCGCTCGCAATTGCTGCACCCTTAAAGCAGAGGGTGTAGTTCCCCCAAGCAACGCTGCTCCCTCGATCTCCCTCTCTTGTCCGCTTTTCTACTTCTCTCTGTTTTCGCTTCGGAACACATGGCACGAGCAAGCCGGTCCTCATGATTTACAACTGTTGCTCGGCAAATTCGATTACGATGATTCCGAGGTACCGCGTAGCATCGAATTGCATACGAAAAGACGCTGGTTAATTTCGGATATAGCCATTCAAAAAGATCTAAGTAGATTGATTTGTTCTGAAGATTCTGCTACAATTTATTTGTTTAATTTTTTATTTTATATATTTATTTAATTATGTACGTGCTCGCTTATTTTATTGAAATTCACATTTGACGTCTTTCCACCTTCTTTATTTAATTTATTACGAATTTCTTTCTTTATTCTATTCTTAATTTATTATATATTTAGAAAATCTCCATTTAAAAGGGCCAAGATTTCACACATAAAATTTATGTTCTCCGTTTCCGAGAACGAATCTGTGACGTTAGGGTGACGTTAGGTTTTCGGTCGCGCTTATTGTAATTACTGTTTACACATGTCGATAGTCGCGTGAGTGATACTGACACGCACGTCTCGACGCACACGCACGTGTTAGTTTAGCAAACTCAGACTCGCCAGAATAAACAGATATTGGCGCAAACGCACCGTTGAGTCGCGCACGACGCGTTAACGCGATGCGTGGTCGTTTGTGCGTCGTCGGTGTCATTATCATATGGAAATTGTTACGCCCGCTGGCTTTATACGCGCGTCCTGCTGGGACACGATTCTGCGTCGACACGCGAGGGATCCGTCCGTCTGTTTAATACGTCGCCGTCACGACACGTCGAAACTTCATCGGTCGTGAATTAACGTTCGTTCCGCCACGTTCGGTGTATTCGTATACACAGGGTATGTGCCTCAAAATTACCCCGTAACGATCTCATCGACGCCGGTAGAATGGATTCTGCGACCCGATTGTGCGAGATTAATTTCCGGCGAAACGTTTCGAAAACGCTCGGTTTGCTTTCGCATTCGCGCGGAATAACTAACGCGCATCGCAAATACAATGGTTGTCATATAGTTGGACCTAGTTGGGCTTCGCATCCGCTTGCTTTGACTTTAACGAAAAACTGCGTTTAAATCGTTTAATGACTATACATGACTACATGATTGCAGTATCATTTTTTCCATTTTGCTATATTTTACTGTATATTCATTAGAAAGATTACATTCTAATAATAAATTTTTAATCGATATTCGATCATTATTACGAATTAAAGAATACAACATAAAATTTATTTCTAAATTTTTTTTACACAAATTTGTTTAATTAGTATTTTTAATAAATATCGCTATAGAATTTTTTTTTATATACATTCAATATAGATTTGATATTTAATTATTGCTGTGAATTTATCATTTACTCGCTATATAATTTGTTTCATTGAATACTTGAATTATTTATGCCGACCACAAATAAATGTATTTTCGAAATGTCTCTATGCGAGAGGAATTCCGAGAAGCGAAATCCTCTTACCTTCCACATTCTATTTCTCCACGGCCTGCTCGTACAGCTATTTAGGTTGCATTGTTTCTACATGTGGTTAATAGGACCCTCTACAGTGGCGCGCCGGCGAAAGGGCTTGGAAAATTCAATTTCGTGTCTGGCCGCGTAAAAATAATGCCGCGCGCTTTCTCTCTAACGCGGAGGCCCCGGCTCGTAAAAAGCCGCCTCCAGTACGAGGGCCGCATTTTTAATTCGCCTCGCGATCGCGCGACTAGATTCCACCGTGTGAACGCCGTGGGAACAAAAGATCACGTTTAATCGAGCGGACGGTGCACGCACAGTCCGAGACTCCGAAACTTGGAATTTTAAGTATCGTCCAAGGCCCAGTCGGCCCTTTGTAAAACCGTGCTGTTATCATAAAATACTTTCGACGAACTACTTTAGAGCGAACACTTGAGTCCTGATTTATATCGACGATGGGAAAAAAACGGTAAAAGTATGTATACAGAAGATTTGCTGTTCCACGAGAACGTATCGCGTTTTTATTCGTGACTATCGATAATTTTTAATAAAAGCTCTTGTTAACGCGTTATAAGGCAATAAATTTCGAATGATTTTAACAGATATATTTGTTTAAAAAAGAAATAGCTTAAACTTTTAATTTAAAGGGAATCGCATGATATATGTTCAGAGTTTATATAAAATTATATTAGACTTAACGTATATTAATTAACATATGTTAATACTCTCTTATTCACTTTATACTCTAATATTTTATCATTTTATACATTTTTAACACATACAGCAAGAATCACATTAGTATCGCGATTTTAAATGCGAGACATGTTCGGCGCCTCCGAAAGATTGAAATTCGATAGCGTCGCAACTTTTAATTTGTCGTCGGAATTAAAAATCGCGAACGAGCATAAGAGGGCGTGAGGAATGATGTAAAGGACACGGACAGGGATAAGGGCGAGATGAGTACACACGTCATTATTCATTCACGGCAGCGGAAAGAACCGTCACGCCGACGTATCCGGCTGGTTGTAATGCATCATGTCACGTTGCACGCTGTAAAACAGAGATATCAATTTGCTGTACACGCATCGCTCATGCGTGTTACGTGGTGCATGACGGTTGGACGGGCCATTCTTTCCGGGAACCGCGTGTACAAAACGAATAAGAATTCGTATAGATCACGCGAAGACCTCTGAAAATTTCGTGTGTCACGATAATTTTACATTTACTCCACTCATTAATCCTACATTTAATCCTGTAGTTTTTTTTCTGGTATTTTGCGGAAAAAATCCTAAAATTCTGAGAAAAAAGGCACGGGCAAGTAATAGAGTCTCGAAAACTATTTCATATAAAGAAAAGTATTTCTATCAAAATTGAAGCGAACTATTAATCGTTCAATGACAATATCGTTTTGAACAAAAGCACTATCGATATTTTGGCTCAATCGTTCGTATGCGACTCCGAACCACCGCGTATGTTATTTTGCCATATCCTACATTGGAATGGTCTGCGATCTCTATTGCCAGTCGAGAGCGATAAGTCCGGTCGTCGGGTCGCCAGTTTAATTTCTACGGCATGTTATTGATCCCTGGGAAAAAATGTCAGAAGATTTTTCTTTTTTTCTGTCTACTCGATGGTTCCGAATCAAAGGACCGCGTTTGAAAAGCTCTCCGAGCGTGGACTTGGCGAGACGTATCGTTGGTTTTGACAGAAATAATATATACGAGGGGTCTCCTTCGGGATCAACTGCGCTAATCTATCGAATAATTTGCCGAACAATCCGTGTATACAGCCTTGATAAAGAAATCCATTTAAGTTCGCTAATAACATTTCTCCAGAAGGATAAAATTGATTCGAATATCCTATAGGGATTAATAAAAGTATATTTGGAAAAATATTGAACACACACACAAAACGATTAAACGAAACGATGCTAGAGATATTTTAATATAAATTACATTTATATTATAAATATTAATAAAATATATTATATATTATATTATATATATAAATTTAAAATAATTTCTAAAAATATCTGTAATGTTTTATTTGATATCTTAACTTATCTCTCTCAAATTGTATTAGCATATACGCATTTATTAAATATCTAACAAAACAAAGCTGATAAACAGAGAGAGAGAGAGAGAGAGTTTCTCTCTCTCTGAAAATCTGAATTTATATCTAAAAGGCACGGGCAAGTAATAGAGTCTCGAAAACTATTTCATATAAAGAAAAGTATTTCTATCAAAATTGAAGCGAACTATTAATCGTTCAATGACAATATCGTTTTGAACAAAAGCACTATCGATATTTTGGCTCAATCGTTCGTATGCGACTCCGAACCACCGCGTATGTTATTTTGCCATATCCTACATTGGAATGGTCTGCGATCTCTATTGCCAGTCGAGAGCGATAAGTCCGGTCGTCGGGTCGCCAGTTTAATTTCTACGGCATGTTATTGATCCCTGGGAAAAAATGTCAGAAGATTTTTCTTTTTTTCTGTCTACTCGATGGTTCCGAATCAAAGGACCGCGTTTGAAAAGCTCTCCGAGCGTGGACTTGGCGAGACGTATCGTTGGTTTTGACAGAAATAATATATACGAGGGGTCTCCTTCGGGATCAACTGCGCTAATCTATCGAATAATTTGCCGAACAATCCGTGTATACAGCCTTGATAAAGAAATCCATTTAAGTTCGCTAATAACATTTCTCCAGAAGGATAAAATTGATTCGAATATCCTATAGGGATTAATAAAAGTATATTTGGAAAAATATTGAACACACACACAAAACGATTAAACGAAACGATGCTAGAGATATTTTAATATAAATTACATTTATATTATAAATATTAATAAAATATATTATATATTATATTATATATATAAATTTAAAATAATTTCTAAAAATATCTGTAATGTTTTATTTGATATCTTAACTTATCTCTCTCAAATTGTATTAGCATATACGCATTTATTAAATATCTAACAAAACAAAGCTGATAAACAGAGAGAGAGAGAGAGAGAGTTTCTCTCTCTCTGAAAATCTGAATTTATATCTTTAAAATACTAGAAAATACAAGACAGGGGAAATAATATATTTTCATATCGTTAATATAACTTTCAGTATCAAAAATTATTTTTTCTTCTTTTTCTCTAACACGAAAACGATTTAATTAACCAATATTATCGAATTTTTCATCGCGAACGCGCGGTATCTCGCGACAGTGTTTCGATATTCATAATAATAAATCGGAGCGGGGGAAGAGGGGAACAAAGAGGAGAAGCAAAGGGAGGTTTTATCATTTAGGGTGGGTTGCAGTATGTTGTTGGACGAGAGCCAATATCGAAGATTTACCATAGGATCCGCTGGTTATTGCGTGGGAAACGCGCGCGGTCTCATTATTTATACGTTACACTGGTACTTTTATATTTATGTATCGCGCGCGCGGTCTGCACGCTGGAAATAAAGTGCCGTCTCTGCGCGGTCCGATGAAATAAGTGATTTTCGCGATACTACGATTATTGAGAGGACGCGAAAGAATGGGAAGAAATCGATTTCACGTTGTGCTACACGTTATTGGTCGAGGCTTCATAATCACTGTCAATTTTTAATTCAGTTCCTTTTCGCTTCTTGCTTGCGTTAATCGGATAAAAATCGGGAATGTCCAAATAAAACTTTTATTCACATCCAGAAAAGATTCAGGTATCTTTAAAAAAAAAATTTCCGTCAAAACTGCCGCTTTAAGAAAGATTATTATTATGCATTTGAGAAATTAACAAATTATATTTTAAATTATTTATGTAATTTTATTTATTGCATTATTTTATTTATTATATTATACATATCTTTTAATTTATATTATATCATTCTTGCTGAAGAAAGAGAGTTATATATCTATTTTACAAAACAAATACTTGTTCGAAAATCTAGCCACCAGAATATGGTCCAAAAAATGCACAAAGATTATTAAACTAGATTAAATAATCAATTTTTTTAGATAAAGAAAAAATAATTTTCTAAAATTGCATTCAAAGAAGAAGTAAAATATATCGAACAAAGAACTTGGAAGGCTAAAGATCTTACGAACGAGATGAAAATCAAAGAAAGCGAAATTATTCAGCAAGATTTTTGCTTTAATAATGTTCGCATTTCTCTGTCGTACTCTTTATTGGAAAGCGCTAAACTTTGAAATTTCTCACCTGGCCAGCTCTCTCTGAAGATGATGAACTCTCGAGCGTGTTCTTTCAGCTTCAGCCGTAGCTTCGCGTACCCGAGCTTCGGCCTCCATTCGTTGCCGGCGTTCTCGTTCCACATCTCGTTGCGTGGCCTCCCTCTGCGACAATCCAAACGTTGACATTTATTAATGGCAGCCAGGTAGACGAAAAAAAAAATAAATAAAAGGGAGAGGGATGGAAAGGGGGAGAGGAATTGGTAATTAACGCGACGATGGAACGACGGCGATGCAAAATTCAGCAACGTGCGTCGGGCACGAAAAAAAAAAAACGGCGTCGTTGCGACAGTCGTGAATAATGAATCGGCAATAATGACGTCGATACGAGCAATCGCGCGTCGCGAAAAGGTATCGTCGGTATGAGTGTGATTAATTAATGGCGGATTTAATAAAGTGTTCGTAGTGTCGCACGATGGACACGCCAGTGCGTTGTCGTGTTATTCGTTTCGCCGATGCGGGGGCAGGATGGACGTTAATTGACTTGTAATTAATCAGCGCGCACTCGTCATAATTTATTCGTGGTAACGTGCGACGAGCGGCGAGATTAATAAATCACTGTTGGATCGTTGGTTCGCTTTTCATTTTCCCCCGATCGCGAGGGAAAGCGATCGAAATTGTTGGCGGGCAATCAGCGGAATTTTTCGCAGCAGATTGAAACCGATGTAATTTCAACCAGTTAAATTTTCCGTGATATAGAAAAAATATAAATATATTCCACAAATATAAAAAAAAATATTTTTTTCTACATATAACAAAGTTATAGATACAATTTCATATATAGATGACAAGTGTATAATTATTTTATTCGAAAATACTGAAAAATAAATTATTTGGACAGCGACTGTTCATTATACATAATAAATTAGAAAGTTATCAATTGTGTATAATTCTATTATTATCAATTTATAAATTACTAATATCATTATTAATTTATAAATAACTAATATCATTATCAATTAAAATAAATAACTAATATCATTATCAATTTATAAATAACTAATTGAATAGATTAATGATGTAAATAACGAGTAATCGTCGTCTGCGAATAAATTATTCAAATGGGAACAGTGAGTTCACGTAATTCTTGCTAGAATCACGCCCAAATCTAGTTCGTAATCTAAACTCGGCGAAATTTACCGACGACCCGATCCTCGCGAAATCCGATGGATCGATGGCCGCGAGTGGACCGAGAGAAAACGCGCGAGACGACGTCGGCCGAAAAACTCGTCGATCTTCGGATCGCCGCGTCGCAACGGCAGGCAGACAGTGTGCGGGAGGGAATTATTCATGAATTTAAATCGAAGCACCGCACGCTACATTGATTGCGCCCTTCCGGATCGCGTGGCGAGTCTGTGGGGTCCGCCCGGACTCCTCTATCCGCGCGCGCTCTCTCACCAAGTGCCATCAATAATTGTGCCGGACCAATGTGCCGAAAGCAGTATTTCACGCGATTTAACCCGCCGGTAACCGCGGCTATCTCGGGTCCGGCCGTAAATTGTCGTTTGTCCCTGGCTGGAGGAAGCTGGGAAGGACGAAGTTTCGGATGCGGCGCGAGATAATAATGCTCTCAGATTTGCAATAGCAGCGAACGGCTTTGGGAGAAAGACGAATGGTCAGATTTATGTGGATTCTGGGACACGAGTCTCCTAAGACTTATTAGAGGATAAGCGGATAAACGTATGGACGAGTTGGGAATAACTGCGGAAATTAAAAGAGGGCCAAGTAATAATATTAACAGTAATAATTTTTGTAATTTAAGCAATAATTTTAAAAAAGATAATAATTTTGACAAAAAAATAATGATAGAATGATAGAAGAAATGAAATGAAATGATAGAAGAATAACAATCTTATAATAATTTCTCATAGTAATCTCTCTCTCATATATATGTATATAGTTTCTTTAAATTATGCTCTTCGACAAAATAAATTATTATTTTTCTGAAAATCAATTATCAACATGATTGTCATTAACATGAAAATAAAAATGCCAAGATGCCGTTTTCTTATACTCTATCTAAAATATAGCGTTTATATTGATAACGTTTTAATTTTAATTAAATTTTCTTTACGAAAGAAATTCTTGTGAAAGAATAGAAAATCAATAGATTATCACACATTAGATAACGCGTATTAAAAAATCGTAAAGCACAATACAATGCCTCTTTAATTTTGTACAATATCTTTGTAATTATACGACGTTCACCCATCTCGCTCTTTGTATTTGCACACATGATGTTCCGAAAAAGAATAGAAAATCAATAGATTATCATACATTAGATAACGCGTATTAAAAAATCGTAAAGCACAATACAATGCCTCTTTAATTTTGTACAATATCTTTGTAATTATACGACGTTCACCCATCTCGCTCTTTGTATTTGCACACATGATGTTCCGAAAGTCGATTTTTCGCGGTTCGTCGCGTTTACAATCGAGTTCGTAAAAATTTTGCCGACGTTGGCGGATATCGTTGCGATCAGGGAAAAGTCCGCCGAAGAAAGGACGCGGGTGAATTCGAGGATGTGGGGTACAAAGGGAAGATATCGAGGAATACAATCTGGTAAAAGCCAGGCTGGCCGCCACTCGCGCGCCGAAGGGTTTAAGAAATGGCCAAAGCGGATTTATGGCAACCTTAAATCCTAACGAACGCTCTTTCCTCCCTCTCTCTGTCGGGGTTTTCCCCGACGAATTTCTCTCTCCCTCCTCAAGACTGTCTTCTATCGAGAATGTCGTATTTGTGAGGTTACTCCCGCTTGGAGTGTGATTTCGGTCGTCTCGGAAAAATCGCGAAGATTTTACGGCACGAATCGCGAATACTAGCGACTTTTTTATCGAATTCTACGAGAAAAGAACGCCGTGATTTTATGACAAATGCTCCTTCCGTTACCCGAAATCATGAAATCGGAAAGAGAAAAACCTGTATTTGTATGTGAAATGTTGGAAAGAATTGAAATGAATTTGTCTAATACATATAATAGTGATCGTAAAAATAAGAATTGAAAGAAAATATTATTTTTTTATAAAGATACATAAATATATTATTTATCTATTATGATTATTATTCAGTTAATATAAATTATAAGGCTATTTATTGAAGGCGTTATGATTTGATTCTATTATAATAGCAAGTCAACGCAATTTACTAAAATTTAAATCAAATTAAAAAACAAATTTATAACATGACTTTATTGTACTCCACGTGATAACAAGATCTCGGTTTCATCGGATATACCGAATCGAGTTTCGTGCGAGAAAACTGATCTAATCCTCAAAGACACCCCACGGAGAAGTCTACACGCGTTCGAATAATCCCCCTCCCCCTCTCTTCCTTCCCTTCCATCACGAACGATGCGCACGTGTGCCCGCAATTTCATTCGGGGCACGTGCGGAAGGTTGCAGAAAGATGCGCGAGGAAGTCGCCTAATCAACGCGTCGAAGGGAGACTGCATCATCGGAGACCGGCAAATTATTAATGAGCGGCAAAATCCTCCATGGCAGACCGTCCGATCGCGGAAAGCGCTCGTTAATAATTCATCGCGAGCGAAATAATTCTCCCAACTTGTGTGATTCCGTCGATCCATCGCTTTTCGACGAGCACGTGGTGAGCGAAGTGTCGAGAGAGAAAGAGAGACAGAGACGTAGAATGAAGACGGAAGGATGAAGGGACGAGCTACTGCCAGAGGAGAGTACCATCTTTCGCTTCTCCGCCGGATTGATAGCTAGGTCACGTGTCTGCGATCCTCGATGCTCTCCGCGAGTACGGCGATAAATCTTTCAGGCCACCTCGCTTTCGCACCTCCGAGCTTCGCCTAGAATCGCACGGCTCTTCTTCGCCCGCGAGAAGTTACGAGGGAATAACACAGAAGGATTGTGAGAAAGGGGGTGCGAGGGGGGAAGAAAAGCATAGTATACAATAAGACATCCCTCGCGTTCTCGTTCGCGCAAGACCAGTAGTTGTAGCAGTCGTTATTCACCCGCAATGGTTTTACCGCAGAGTCTATTTACGCGAGTGTTAGAAATTTCCTTCCAATAAAATTCTGTGCATTTTACTATTGATTTTCCTGTCGCTTCGAAGGTAACAATATAAGATTGTAAACTATAAAATAATTTCTTTCTAGACCAAAATACGAAGTATCTCGCGTGCGCGTTATTAAAATTTCGCTTTAGAAGATTGCGGTTTATACGATAACGGACGGAATTTATCGCGGGAAAAATAAAAATAAAATGATAAAAATAACAGTCATTCGTGATACAATTCTTTTTTCACTTCCAGCACGATATATAATTTGCATCATACGAAATAAAAAAATCTCGCGTTTCAGCATCAAATCGAGCTTTTGATGTATAATAAAAAATTGATTTAACGTGATTTTTAGTGCTGCTATCGTTGTGATTTAATGCTAACAGTTTCGTTGATAACGAGCACGTTTCGGGAGCAACGACACCGGCTTTCACATAGAACTGCCCGTTATCAATGCTCGTTAGTTGATGTATTATATCGCACAATAATAATGCGCTACGCATTCGTTACATATCAATAAAGCGCTCGAATAAAAGTCTCACGTTCGCTAGATATATTGGGCGGCACGAATATACGGATATACGGATATTTGTTGTCCGATACTGGGAAATTTTGACAGTTATCTAATATACTAAACGCACGTGTACATCATACAGAGATTACACAGCTAAGTACATATACATATTGTGGGATGTTCGTGCAGATAATTGTGGCTCTATCCTTTATTCTTGCATTTAACCAAAATCATTTTATTTCAAAACGAAACATTCGTGTAGTGCATTTGCAATTATTGTTGAAATTAATTTGCTTTGCATATTTATTTTATCTCATAGCGAAATATTATTAAAGCCAGTTTAAAGAATAGTAAAGTAATAGATTCTTGTAATAATTATATAGTTATATATTTAAATTATATATCGAGTTCTATCTTGTTATAAAGCTCTTAAATTCTTAAATTTTTTTTCTAGAAAAATTTTGTATCTGTTTGGTATGTTAATTAAGAAGAAACGCGCACAAATGTTTTTATTTTGTATCAATAATTGTGAGTATTCGCGAATTTGACCAAGACTTCGTGAGGA